GGAAGTTGGGGCTCATTTTGTTGTGGAACTGATTGATGCTGTCAAACTGATGACATTTTGCTGACAGCAAATCAAGAGAAAATGAAATAGTGCATGTTGGATATTGTTGTCCATGACACTAAAGGAATTGTCCTGCTTTCACTGTTTTTAACCTGGCTTCTTGGGAAAAAAGACTAATGAATTCCCATTATGCTTTACAGTGTCTGTCTTGTATCCCTCAAATTACCTCTATGAGTCTGTTGGTTAACTTCAGTCAAATTTCTCTCAGGCAACAGTAGAAATTATGGTCAAATAAGTTTCTTCAAACTAGATGGTGTTTGGGTAAAGAATCCCAATGAAGTGCCCTTAGCGAGGGGAACACACAGCCTGAGTTTGCATGTTACTGGGCAGAGAAGCCACCAAGGAGTGAGATCTCTGCCGAAGCTGAGCTAAGCTCTGAATCAATTATGGGAAAGGAAACTTCAGTGGCTCTGCTGCTCACGATGAAAACTTGCATTGCTGTGAGTTGTAACTGGGTAATGCCAGATGTTCTGTTGTCTCTGCAGGTTACTTATGACCTTAAGAATTACTACTCTGTAGCCATCCCATGGAGCTGAAAGTCACAGTAATTAAATGCCTAAGTAGGATAGTGCTGTTGGCACAATAGTAACAAATGTCTTTTACCAGGAGAAAGCTTGTTTTCCAAGTTTGTAGTTTATTGGTTTTAATGGTGATTCAATTCCTTCATTGCGTGAGCACTGAGTCAGAAAAGCAGTGTCTTGAGGCTGTCAGTTTTGCCCACCTTCATTGCATTAGACTAGGGGAAATTTCCCTAAAGTTCCATCAGGTTTAACAGTTATTAATCTGAATAAAGCTGAAATAATGCAGAAAGCACTTGCTATGCAAAAATCTGCAAACAAATGGCAAGTACAGTTCCTCGCTTCTGTTCCCACAGTGGAAAATAAGCAAGCTTTTGCAAAGTCATGGAAACAAAATAGCTGTGCTAATCTGAAAACAACAGCCCTGCATAGCTTTCCAAGGAGAGAAGAAGAAACCTGAAGCCTGTGAACGGCTGAGTACCTACTTTGGATCTTTTTCCCTAATGCTCACACATGAGCCCATGTTTCATCAAATATAGTCTGCCTTACTGCTATCCTTTGAGAGGATAAATTCAAACGCGTTTGTTTGCATGTTTTTAAGCATTTGAAGAATATTCCAGAATCAGGTTTGCTATTAAGAAATCACACTGCATAGAGATACAGTACCACAGCAATCCTTCTTAGAGAAATATATAACTGTAGTTCTTTTGGGTCTAGTTTATTAGTTGAACTCGTTTACCTCCAAGAACCTTCCTCTCCATTGCATGAGGGAGAGACAGATTTGCTCTCTGATTTCCTCAATGATAGCACATTATGGATGGCTTAATAGCTACCAGGGTTTCAGCCTGGAATCATTAAAGCATTAGGCAAACTTTCAATACATATTTCCTGTTAGTCTTGTCACACCACGGAAAGGTGAGTGTGAACAGAGGTCAGTAGCACATCATGAACATGCAAATAGTGTCATAAAAACAAGTTCATCACGCCTATATTTCACAGAATAACAGAATATTCTGAATTGGAAGGGACCCACAAGGATCTTCAAGTCATTTGTCATAAGAGGGATCCTGATTTTTCTGATTCACTATGCAATTTATGTGTAAATTCTCATCATCTCACCAGATTTGTGCTAAAATGAAAGTGAGAATATATTCCATCCATCTACAAATTGTGGTCAGTAAGTTTATATACACCAGTCACACTAGATGTGGGCTCAGCACTCTATTTTTATGCAGAGATAATAGGGGGAATAGTAAATGCTGAAATTTCCCTGGTGAAAGAAGCATTTCCAGCAATATATAGTGAGATGTACTCAAACTTGGCAATAAATACTACTTTAGCTTTCTGCAGCTGGTATTGCAATTTGTACTGTGGCAATGACTGAGGTCCCATTTAATTGATCACTGAAGGAATAGACAGAAAGCCTCCTGAAGAGCTCAGTCCTGCAGTTTTTGTCTTCCCACTTTCTCCTTAAATGGTTTGTAAAATTTGCCAAATAGTAAGAGAATTTCTCATAGGTGAAACATGTTTTAAATGGGTGAAATATTAATGCTGATTAACATTATTCCTGTTTTATGGTATAAAAGAAGAATTTAAATAGTGTAATGTAATATTTTTCAATTCCAAGACATCTTCATATTTTTATGACCCTGTAAATTATCCCACTTGCACATGAGAATCGTAAGTAGGGAAAAATCAAATGTACATAAGGAAAGTACTTGCTCCTTAGAAAATTCCAGTGTGGATTCTTACCGAAGTGATAAATAAATTAGGAGATGAAATATGGGCACTATTGCAGATATCTGAGGGGATATCTTTTTCACCCAGTGTAACATCCGTAGATTAATTAGTCTGCACTTCCTGTGTTGCATTTTCTGATATTCTGCTTTGCTCTAATGCTGTCAGACAACTTGTGCTGTCAGATGACACCGTAGAAAAGTAGAACAAACAGAAAATAATGTCATTACGTAATGTCTCTGCTTTTTCCCTTGTCTTAGAAAGTGACTTTGCCTCTGCAAACACTGAAGTGTTTGCATCTCCTCTTCCCCTTTAAGAAATAAATAGGTCAGTTGCCTGCAACAAAGTGCAAAGAGCCAGCTATGTCCATGGTATTGCCACTGGCATGAGATTAATTAGAGAATATGGTAATTAACCAGGTACATTTGTGGTTTTCTACCATATTTTTCTGGTGGTAGTCTTGTTCAGTAGTCTGCTGAAAATGTGCCCGGTACAGCATAAAGAAATGCACTGATAATTAGGTTCCCTGCCCAGTGATTCAGTCCTTTCCAGTTTCTTGAAGGTCACCTTCAGCTGCCTCCCTGTTCACGCTCCAGTTTCTCCCAGTTCCATTTCAGTGCTCTGTGCAATAACAGGTTGCAGAATTCAGTTTCTCAAATTGGCATCTTTAAAACACCCTGCTCTGAAAATCTAAACACTCTAATGATCATGTGCATCCACTCTGCAGGCTTTATATAATAATTTTGGTTTTCCTCTTGTTGACATTCAAGAGCTAAAGCAATGTACTGTGCTTTGAAAATCCAAAATACAGAAGCAGCAAATTCTTCCTGTTTTGAAAGCTCTTCAGCAGCAGCCACTTCACTCTAGGAGCTTTCTTTTATGATACCCTCAGAGCACTGACCAATGTTTTGAAATGGCACTTAAACTTGATGATAAAATGCATTAATGTGTCCCCCATCCCTAGAGAAGTAGGATCTATGAATGGAGCCAAACCACACAGTGTAAGTAGTTGAGTAACTCTGACAAGTTACCTCAGAGGAAATGTGTGTAAGTCTAGTCCAAGTTGGCTGTTTTCATGATGGCATTTTCTTTTTAAATTATCTATACCTAATAAATATATAACCTATTACAGTTAATACCTGAATTTCTTTCCTAAATGTCTTGGGGGTAAATAGAGAAGTGAGAAAAGCTATAGGGAAATAACTGTGTCCAGAATTCTCATATTCATGAAGACTGCAGGTTTTGAATACATTCAACTTGGGCAGCTGCTCAATTCCATTGCTCACAACTCAACAGCTCTGTGATGATAAGCCCAAGAGAGCTTGTCTGTACCCCAACTTGCCTCACCTCCACGTGGTTTAGGCAAAGACATATGTTGTGGCTTAGGTGTGAACTAGGTATTAAAAGTGTGCGTTGGCCTCCCCTGTGTGTGTGAACTGTGTGAATCACAGCAGTGTCTTCTGGAGGCATCACACTGCTGCTGAGGTCTGCTCGGGTGGCACTGAGCCTCTCCTTGGGACAGGCGTGTTTACAGATATTGCCAGGATGAATAGTTAGCCCAACTAGGGATTTCTAGTGAAATGACTGCTCAGAACTTGCAGTCAGGAAATACTTCCGACTACTGCTTCGTCTCTGGTCTGGTTGCCAGGTGGATACTGCAGAGATAAGTTTTTGTTTCTCTTTTACTGAATTCTATAGCTTCTCTGAAGAACTTTTTTTAATGAGAATAGAAAATTTCTAACTCCTATAACATCAAAAAAGACACTTAACTGTTAATATGCACTAAAGGATTCACCGAGGATGACATTTTCAAAATTCTTGGGTCAGCAATCTCATACACTTTTGGGTGCTTTACGCATAGAAACCATAATTAGAGAGACAGATTTGAACATGGCAGTGTGCCATGCACTTATTAAAATGTAAGTGCCTGAAGTCAGCCATAAGCTGTGGGATTTGTTTTATTTGTGAATATGATAGTAAATTTGGAGTTATTCTGAAGCAATAATTATTCTTTGAGATATATATGGCAAAGCTGCCTAAATGTTTTCTACTTTCTTACTCTGGTACTACATCTCTGTAACTTCTGCTGTTCTGGGACTATGTATTTATCCCCTCTGCACAAGGCTTTCATGTCATTAAATATACCTCAGTGTTTGGGTTTTAAAGATCTGTAATATTTCAGATGGTTCACACTAGACTAAAGAATCTGTAAGGTGGAAATTAAAAAAATCTAGGTAATTTGTTTAGACTGTCTTTTCCATCATGAACTAGGCAATCAATGAGCTTGTGGGTGAAGTACTTGTGCTGGTAATACCAGAACACAACAGTGGAAAAGTTAGAGAAGGAGGCTGTAATGAAGAGCTGTGCTTCAGCTGTGGCATCCTTAGGTCTCACTACAACACTTGATGTTTTGGGGAAATGAAACATGAGGCTTTTTTGGAGACCTAGACTATATGGGACCATTTCTGTTGAAAGCTGAGAACCGGCACCATGCATTTGTCTGCTTCAGATCTCTTGATTGATTTCACTAACGTTTTTTATCTGGCAGCTATTAACGTTTTTTTGTAACTGATAAACCTGGAAAGAGCAGTTTGGAAAACTTGCATGGATGTTCAGAGCTTTAATTTCAAGCCATCTTACTTTCTTGAAATGCTTAACGGGACCGATAGCTTGTTTAAAATTAGCTCAGGTTATTCTGTGCTGCACTGTTACCTGCATTACAAATCTAACTGAAGGTGGGCACTACTGTAGCTTTGCTGTGCTTCCCGAACTCTGAGAATCTTCATTGTGATTTCTTGTCCAAGTCATGTGTTCACGTATTTTCCTCTTTATATGTTATAGTTCTGTCCTGTCTCTGGGCAGATACTGTACAAGATGCCAGTGGGGTATGAAAGGAGAGCTGCCCATCGAGAGTGTAGGAGATGCCACGTGGCTTTCATTGGGCTGGGCTGTGACCCCCTGATCATCAGTCTGTAGGATGAGCTCCTGAGCCTGACCTCCATCAGAGCTAAAACCTGCTAGAGCTGGGCAAACACCTCAGCTGGCAGCTCCATGTAAGTGGTTCAGTGAATTTTTTTCTGCTGCTATTTTTTTTTATTGTCTCTTTATTAAGGTTTGAGAAGGAGACTCAACCTGGATATGCTGCGTTTAAGGTGAATGTGTGTTTACCTCACTGAACAGGAGCCATGTTACTGACAGAAATATTTGAAAAATAGTAAATACTAGAGAATACTCTGATAAAATGACATCTTAGTGTGTATGTTCAAATCCTAAAGCTGTTTAATAATTTACAGGAGGAGAGTGTCCAGAACGAATTGCTCATTAAAGACTTAGAGACTTTGAAGCTTCAGACTCTTCCTGTACCATGAAACCAGAGCACTTCCCTGACAAAAGGCAGGAAGAAGACAAGGAAAGTGAACAATACAGAGCATGAATAGTAGTTCTGGAAGAGAAAGACCAGGGAAAACACCAGAAATATCAAAAAATAATTTGCTATAGGTCTTAAAGCACATGTAGGCTGACCTTGTTAAAGTTATCGGAAGCGTTTCCAGTGACATTAGCGCGTTTTACCTGAAGAAATGAGGATGGAGTGCATGGGAGGTGGGTTGCATTCAAGTGATATTTCCTTTATTTTTCAGGTTTCTCTGAGGCCTAGAAGAACCCAGGAAGCAAAAGTGGTGAATCCAGAAATGTGTGAATTCCTCAAGAGGATGCGGCTCAGACAAGATGCTGGAGCTCACACTGCTTGTGTCACTGCTGTACAACTTACACATGCTCCCAATTTTCCTGTGAGGTTCTGTGATTCCTGAAGTGCACCAGGGCCGAAGTCGGTGAATCTTCATTTAGGACTGGAAATCTGACTTTACTGGACTCTTTAAAAGTACTTTGTTAAATTACTTATGCAAGCTCAATGCAAAGCAAAACACTACATCTACTTTTTGGAATAATTTTCACATATCTAGAACCAAAGTTTAAATTATTTTTAAGTTATTGATTAAGTTATTGAAATATTTAAGATATTGCTTAATATATTTTATTGTAGTAATAAAGTCCTTCAATTACCAAATTAATATTTCCCAAGTAAAATCTGGTAAGTCCTAAGTGAAGAGTGGATTGCTGCCCACAGTTGATAGTTTAATAGCGGAAACACTATTTAATTTTATTATTATTCAAATTTATGTTCAGTTTTCTCAATTTGCATAAAAATACTATAAATCACTTATATGGAAAAAGTATTATCCTGGAATATTTCTAATGATTTAAAATAGCTGAGTGAGGCAAAATCTTGGCAAGCCCATAGCAGGGAACACAACTAGGCTGAACACAGTTACAGTACAATGAAAAATGTTTATTTTCTCCAGCTTAGTTTCTGTGCAAGAATTTGTGGACCCTTAAGTAGGGATCAGAGTCTTTCCTTCTTCAATCTACTCATGTAAAGGAGTAACCATTTTCTTTTATGTGTATGTATTTTTTTTTGAGCTGATTTGCCCACGTGTTCTGTAACAGAAACCTTTTTTAAGGGTGAGTTCAAGCTCCTCTTTGGCACCTTTGAAAATTGCTGCTGAAAGAATGCTATTCCTGTAGCCACCTTTTGCCCATGTGTATGTATAAATTACTAATTCAGCTGAAGAAAATGTGCTAAATCACTCTGCTTTCTCAATAGAGGGCCAGAGTAAGGAAATAGATTGAGCAGCATGGATGTTTATAAATGAGCACCATTTCAGATCAATGAAAGGGAAAGTGACAAACCCAATGATTCATTAAGAAAAATCTGTTTTCATCCTTATTTTGTGTGTGTGAACTCAAGTACTGATATCTGCAGTTGTTGCAGCAGAAGTAGGTAGCTTTCAGGCCATTTAGTGGTTTTAGGTTAAAGTGAACACCCTAATCTTTTTCCATTCTTAAAAGATAGCCAGAGTAGGGAAAGGAATATCAATTTATTTTCCTCCCTGAAAAATACTCAGCATAAGAAACAACCTATTGATACCATGTGTAACTTTGGACAAGAAGGTATCAATGTCTGGTGTATATCTGAGGTGCATCATGAAGTTGGCACTGTTTGTACTGGAAAAGAGGGAAACAAATGCTCTGGCTGCTTGGCAAAGTCAGAGGGAATTGTTATGGATGTGTAAAGCACATAGGAGAGCTCAGCTGAGCTGCTGCCCTCAGAGGGGTGAAACTTCTGCCACTCTAAAAGCACTGACACTGTTCAGCCAAAGTTACCCAGGGCTCATTCAGACCTTCCTCGTGCTTTTCAACCACCAGAATTTGGAAGGAGAGCTAATTAAAAATGTACAAAGGTTCATGTCTAACTTTATTGTAAATGCAACTGTGACACAATTTTTCAGGTGAAACCTACAATGGAAGGGAAGAAAACATGCATTTCAAATGAAGTAGCTCTGCACTCAGAATGAAAAGCAGGAGAGATCTTGACTAGGCAAATTAACCTACCTACCCATCTATTGTGTGCTGAAAAAATTATTTTTAGCATGCCTGTGACACGTTTGATAATTACTTTTCTCTGTAGTCAAAGGCTCTATTTAACAAAGCAGAGATGAAATGGGGAGTTCAGCATGAAGGGAGAGGTGCCTGTGTAATCATCTTTATCTTGCTCATATTAATGTCCTGGGAATGCATTGCCTCAGAACCTATAGTTACCCTCTGAAAGCAGAGCAGAAATAATTACCTGTATTGAGTGCTTGTTAGTACCCAGAATAATAAAGTTTAAAATCACTTGTGAAGGATTTGGTCCCAATAGGTGCTTAGTAGGCTGCAGAACCAGAAAAATGGCATGTAAGTGTGGCTACCTGCTTTCACAGGTAGCTTCTCCTTCTTTTCCACACAGACATCATTTAATGCTAAGATGCTGTAGAATTTCCTGAGCTGAGTGCTGTATCTGTTGGGCAGGTCAGCCTGGATTGCTCCCAGAACCCAAAGGATAAGACTTGTTGGAGAATTGTTAGGACTCTGGCATTGGGGCAGTTTCTGTATTGAGCTAACACAGTGCTGAAAGCTAACACAGCAACCAAAGGCCATTCAGAGCATCTTCTTATGTTTGGTTGCTTGCAAAAGAAAAGATCATCTTAGAGGGGAAAAAAACATGTAACGTCCAAAACAAGATAAACCTCAGTAATTCACAGAAAACTATCAAATTAGTGGAACCTCATTTAAAAATCAGCATGAGTTTTATATAATTTCATAGGCTTTGTCCATTTAGGCTTTTTTTTTTTAATTAACATCTTTCAAGTAAAGTACTGAAAAATACTTTGACTCGAGAGTTTTGGAATGAAATGACAAATTCAGTGTGTAATTTGTCAGCAACTGGGAATAGAATTTCTCCAGTCCCATTTTGCTGAGGGCATTTTCTCTATTGTTCGTCTCTTTCTGATCATCTCGACTACCTGTGAAAGGAAAAAAATCTATATTTTTATTACTTTCACTGAAGAAATTGAGTGACAGGGCTTTTTTCCATGACTGACTGCTGAGTAAAAAAAAGAAGTTATGGCTGGGTTATGACTATTTTCTCCTGCTGTGATGAGATTAGAGAAAGTTGAAGTCAGCACCTAGTTGTGGATAGTCATCAATACAGATGACATACAATAAAAATGAAATCTAGTATTTCATTCACCATTCGAGCAGCAGCTCAGTTTCTGAGCTCACTTCCTCATTAAGAAACTTCTCTTGAAAGAACCATCATTAAATTATGTTTCTCTGCTTCTCAGGATGACATGCACTTCCTAACTTAGCACTTACACAGTAGGAGAGAAATAATTAATTTTGAGCTTTCAGTTCTCTCTATTGACTTGCAAGGGGAAAAAAATAATGGAACGGGTCTGAAAAGAGGGTGAGATACATACTTATTCGTCCCTCCACCATGAACATCTATTGTGTTTTTCAAAAGTTTATCACAAACTTTGGTAAAGTTTTAACATGTTTAGTTGAGATAAAATATTCTTTACATCTTCATCTTTTTTGTGGAATTTTGGGAGTGATCCAGGAGTGGATTTCATTTGAAAAGTAAAAGTAGTTACTTAAACTGTATTTTGAAATATCTGACATGAAAAGTTTTGGAAGGCATTGAAGCCCCGTAAATTCCCTACATTGTGTTAGACTTCAACTCTCTCACAGGAGGTATTAGTTAGAACTATTAAAAGATTGCACCTGTATTATAAGGCTTTACAAGTCAAGTATCAGCTTTAGATGAAAATTTATGATTGCAATCTACTTTTCTAAAAATAAACATAATTTGCATACGACACCTCACTGTGCAGCATTAACATGAATGCCCTCAGATGCCCACAGCTACACCTGTACCAGCCCAGGCTGTTGAAACTATATGGCTAAAATGTTGTAGGATGGTAGAGAAAGTGGAATTAAGAATTCAATTTTTAATGTTCATAGAATGGCCTGGGTTGGAAAGGACCTTAGATCATCTCATTCCAACACCCCTACCATGGGCAGGGACACCTTCCACCAGACCAGTTTGCTCAGAGCTCCATCCAACCTGACCTTAAGCACTTCCAGGGATGAGGCAGCCACAACTTCTCCGGGCAACCTGTGCCAGGGCCTGGCAACCCTCACAGTGAAGAATTTTTCTCCCAATGTGTAATCTAAACCAATCATTCACAAGTTATTTAAAATATACTGTTATCTTACTTATTTTAGCTTAATTTTAAACTCATCTTCATTGTCTGAATGATTTTCTTCACCAAGGGAAATGGAAGTGAGCTCATTCTGTTACTCTGTGAAGAATCAACCAGGAAAATTTCACTAGAGGCATCAGGTATTTTATTAATTGTGCATTTGAGCAAATTAATTTTCTTAAACTCGTTTTTTGAGAACAGGCAATTGTACTGTGGAGATCTTGTTTGTGTTACTGCTCCATAATCCAAACATTACTCTCATTGTTCTTCTCATCCTACAGATTTCTCAGTAGACTGTTCTGTTCTGCTCCACTGTTTTTTCTAATTATACTATATATTCCTTGCTCATAACTTCCATCCCATACAAACCATATATTTAAATCATTTGACAGAACATTATTTCAGTAGTTTCTTCGTAAATTCTGATTGCCCCTATTATTTCACAACACAAAGTCGGCTCAAAGTTAAATGTTTCAACTTTGATTAGTAGTTCTGCTTTTCTCAGCAGTACAAAAGACAGCTAATACATTTCCTCTGGGCTGGCTTTTGCTTCAAAAGCTGGGCTTGCTATTACGGTATATGGAAATTGAGAGTATAACAAATATGAGTGTGACAAGCTAAATTTCTGCTTATTACATTAACACTGGGATGTTATTTTGTCTTTGGTTGCTGTTTATTCATAGCAATAATCCATCTTTTCGTCAGCAACTGAACCATACCTAATACCAGTTACAGCCATTACCCCGATTCGGACTGCTCTGAAAGTCATGTTGCCATATTTACTCTTCACTATTTATTTGGCAGGCTCTGAGATTTGAGAGGGAAAAAAATGTATAGGTCAAGAAAGGAGAGGAAAGAAAATATACTTGTTGAGTTAGAGGGCTCGGTTGTTTCTGATGTGAATACAAAAATTGCAAAGTCTTGCTTAGTCACCATTGCTATCTATCAGTATTAATGTGCAGCTTATTCCAACTAGACATGAACCACCTCATGTGAAAAGCAATTCACAAGTGAAATCATAGATCCTAAACCCTCAGGGTTCAGGCCATTTTATTAAAATCCAATGATGATTACCATGCAGACTTTACTTTCCATTCAGGTAATACAGTTTGCAAGCTGTTTGGAAACTCATTTTCAGTTTAAACCTGAGTGTTCCATATCTGAACATTACTTTGCTATTTTCAGATTTGGTTTCATTTATGATTGTGTTACATAATGGCATCAAGATAATTAAACCATGACAGGATCTGTTTCAAATTTCCTAGTGAAACATCTCAATATGAGCCTCTGCTGTTGTGTTACACAGTAACTCTGCCCCCGTTATTAAAACAAAAAGTAATTTTGTTGAAGGAAGACCATGTAACATCAGAAGGAGCAAATTACATATCTTGCATTCTCTCAATTTCTCGGAGTTTTGGAGGGGCTGAACTCTGTGATTCTGCCTCCATCAACAGCCCCAAAGTACTCTCAGGTGCCAGACAGGTGAAGGGAAAATCCATACAGCCAAAAAGCCAGTGAAGGGTTTATTTAAGTTTGCCAGCAGTTGTCTGGGTTTCAGTGCACTGGCTTTCATGGGTGTGCACAGGCTTGCAGCTTGGGCTAGACTGGGGGGATTAAATCCAGCACAGGTTTGCTGGCATTCACTGCTGGGTCCTCCTTGTCTGTGATGTGGCTGAAGGACATTCAGACTCTCCTTAAAAACATCTTGCAGTGCAAATGCAGTCAAGGCCAGAATTGCCCTACCAGACCTGTGTCAGGTGTGCTTTTGTTGGGCCCTCACCCTCCCTTCTCCAGCCTGTGTGTCTTGCAGCTTCACTCCTTGGAGAGCTCTGAACCCACAAAATATTTTCTGTGGCAGAACATAGAAGGAGCCAAACAATTCTGCACACACAACCAGGACACAGAGGTTGTCTTATAGATAAAGAAATAGATTTTGGCCGCAGGTAAGGTACCCTGGGCATTATGACCTATAATGAGACAGTGAACAGAACACTTTCATCTGCTCTTCTAAGTGAATTTACAGGTGGCTGACTCCTGCCTCTATTTTTAGTAATTTATTCTTTCCCTTAAACCAGAAAATGAAAATATGAGTTCTCTTCCTGGCTGACATTTGCATATTCATTAAACATTTCATTAAATTATTTCGCAGCATTTTTAATGATGCTCACTGGCAGCTCAGGATGTACCTATCTCATGGCAATCTAAATTGGCTGTTTTGACTGATTTGAAAGGGCTCAATCACCCCTACCCATTGCCAAAATGCAGCAGTGTCAGAGAAGGGCTGGACTTCCAATAGGCACTTTACCATTGCAGACTGTCTACCCTTCAGTTCCAAATTATTCCTAAATATTTCCATATTCAGCAGCACAAAATTATCTTCACAAGCATACACACACAATAGGAACACTTATAGGTCCTGACATGTCATATTCTGACTTATATTCACGGGTTTGACACTGAGGTTTATTTTATATTTGTATTCAAAGACTTCATTAATAGGAAATTAGCACAAAATATGGTCAAATAATTGGAAAAATATAAAATTATGGATTAAATGTCTTTTTAATATCTGACTTGAACCCTCCTGGTGAAGTTAACATTTTCTAGAAAATAACCTTATTGAATACACTGGATTATATTATATGCTCCTGGATTTTTAAGGACATCAATAATAGCTGGAAGATTAATCCCTTCAAACAAGAAAATAAATCACAGTATTAATTTACTGGGTTTGGCAAACCATGTGAAAGGCTGCTTCTTCTTGGGTGTTGTATAGAAACACATTCATTGTGTGCAAGTCCAGCACTGCGAGGTGAGATTTGTGTAATCACAAGGTAGTTGCTAAATCAAGAAAAAATAGCACAGTGATAAAACTTCATTTGTTCACTCAAATGCTTATTGATTAATGTTTATTTTCTCATTTCAGCTCAATACGCATTTTGTGAAAAAGTTAACTGCTCATGACAAGACAGTGTATAAGACCTGGCTGTAAAATAAAATTTGTTTGGCACTGAACAGGACATTTGGCTCTGAATAGAGTTCAGATAACAACTTTAGATATGACACAGAGAATGAGGTTGGATATGGCTGAATATTAAAAAAAATATTCTTTTAAGTTCATTAGGGGTTCAATTTTTATCTAGGTTTTAAATGCCTGCAGGATTTACAGCTCTGGCCCTCTCTTCTAGAAATTTCATAAGTTATACTTGGATGAAAAAATAGTATGTTATAATAGAAGGTTTTTCAAATCTTAACAAAAAGCAGCTCCACATGTTTGGCTCTTAATAGTAGGAATGAAATAGATGGCAGTAGAATAAATGTCAATATATTTCCTTCATCAGTTAAAATGTGCAAAAACTTAAGATGTCAGAGATTTGTAAGGAACCTGTATTTTCTAGGATTTTTTTTTGCCTACTTTCTTGCCACATCCCTAATTTTGTTAAAATATTTTAAAGAAGCATTGCAGGTAGTAGTTTCTAGTGTTGAAAAACAAATATTTAGCTTTCCTAAGAATCATACATTAGAATATTGCAAAGTCATCCCCAATAATGTCACTTTGATTGGAAACAGCTTTCAGGTTTTTATCTCTTTATTTTTAGTGATGATCATATAGATATAAATTAAGATAAATAGAGCAGTAACACTGTCAAAGTTGACTTCAGAAGCCTCTTTATACCTTTTAATAACTTGGACAAAAAGCATGTGCTACTGTGCGTGGTCTGGTCTTCTGATACCCGTTTTATTTACAAAGTGAGGAGTGGAATAGATCTATTGTAATATCAGTAACAAAGAGAAATTTGTGAGGCTTATCAGTATTTTAAAGTTTGCTGTTAACAAAATTTTCTCAGGTTCAAGAAAAGCTCTATGTGTTTTTAATGTGGAATGGAATATTGTGCTAAACTCATAATTGTTATTATTATTATGTAGAGAAACTACAATGACAAGCATTTTCTAGAACTGGGAAATTAAACAGATTATTACTCTCTATCTGAAGAAAATTAGTACTGTCATTGCAAGACTATTACTTCTATTCATTTTCAGTGCAACAAATTGGTTTTGCAAGGTTTTGTTACTCTTCCCTCCCACCCCCACATCTGTCTTGTCTCTGCTGAGCTTAGGTTAATGAAGGGCCACATGCATTTTGCCTATTTTAGGCTCAAAAATAAATTTTCTTACAAAGCATATCAATGATGTTATTAATCACACAGTGCCTTTATAATGTTTTTGTGTTAACTGTATTTTTGATGCTTACTCTTATGCTAGTAGGTGTAATTATTCTTTAAATAAAAAAGAAAATTATGCATACGTTTATACATTCACAGCATTTGAAGACTGTTGTTTCCTAATGCAGGTATAAAACATTGCTCCTTATAATCTTTTGAGTTTTGTCAATGAACAGTGTCATAACTATTATTAAATAGCAGACAAAAAGCCTCATCAGTAACATGACTTTGCTGCAGATGAACCTCCTCTGTGTATCACAGCTCTACAACTCTGTGTTGAAGAACACAGAATGTTAATTTGCTGTGATAAATGCATGGGATCACTGCAAAAGTTAGAGCAAATATGAAAATAAACTGACATGCAGCCCTGATAACACTGGAAGGGTTTGTTATTACTAGTTTCATTTCTGTTCTCTATTGCCCTTTCTAAGATCATCTTTCAGCAGGGAGATGCTCCTGGTTGAGGCTGAGTTAAGTCTTCAAATGAATCTGTAGGCTGGACAAAGCTCCACTAACAAAGTTGAGTTCTGTTTAAAATACATTACCATGCTATGACTGATAAAATACATCTTAGAAATGATTGGCTTTAATACAGAACTCTAAACTTGTAAATTCTGTGATTTTGCATGTCTTGTGTACCAATCTGTACTAATTTGGATATGCAGTGCTTGACTTTTAAATTTATGGCATCCCCATGACATTTCTCAACGTGAAATGATGACCGAATTTTCTGTCTTAATTCCCCTATGAAGTGGCTCGTTAGGAAATGTATCTTTCTTCCTAACCCAGACTGTGCAAAACCTGTCAGGAAACAGAATATTTGATTCTTTTAAATGCTAAGAAGATATTTAAATAAAGAACAATATAATTTGCCTTTTTTTGTGAATGCTTTGCCACTTTCATTACTCATTGTCCTCTGGGCCTCTTCTAGCACAGCATCGTTTGCATTTCAAACTAGTGAAAATTTTGAGCCATCATTACATGTTATTAATTTTTTATTTTTTTTTTTTTTAATTCTACAATTGGAATGGGTGAGGTTCAGGACAGGAATATTCAGCCTTTGATTAGTGAAATTCTTAGGTTCTGGTATATCGCGATTCACTGATATTAGAGTAACTTATTACCATTTAAAAGGGACCCCTGGTGGCCTAGTGGTTAGCATGCGGGACTCTCACCGCTGCAACCCAGGTTCAATTCCCAGTCCCTCCCGGGCAGATGGAACCCGTTAGCCCTGTGAGGCCATCCATCTATGAGAAGGACACTCTAAACAAACCTACGTCCTGAGGACCTCACTGCCATTGTCCAAGCTTGCTTGGCCCTGGCAGATGAACCTTAGGATTAAAGGGTGGGCTCAGTTCAACGCAGGCTGTGTCTCACCTAAAAAATCCATTGCGCAGGCTGGAAAGGTAAAAAGACCTTTCCCAAAATCTTAATTCACGAAGATGGGCCATTATATACCATTTAAAAAAAACACATATAGTCCCACTTTCCAAACCCCAAGGTCCCTGTTCTCTCACTGTAGTGCTGATATGAAGCATCATACCCTTTTCAAAGCTGAAAGGACAACATTATTTGTATATGTATAAAAGCTATTTCGGGTAATTTTTGTAATGTTCTAATAAAAGTGATTGAATATAACTCCTTCCTACTTTCCAGGACCACGTTATTGGATTTATAATACCAAATTGGTCAGGATTTGTTGTGGTAGGATACATAAACGTTAAAAATCTCAAAAATTGTAAGTCGTATGTAAAAGATAGAACTTACATGGTAATGTACAGCAGTTTTACTGTGCCTAATTTGGAGTACACAAAACCCTCATATCCTCACACACTTTTAAGTTTTAAGTGTGACCTTACTTTCTCTGAGAAGGGAGAGTTTAGCAAGACGATCCGAGAGGAAAACGCTTATTTGGGATTAAAGGGTGCCGGTTCCTCCGCGCTGAGCGGTGACAGCCCCAACGGCAGGGCCGGGGAGCAGCAGCAGCACCTCCAACGCTCCCCGGCCCCGGGGTCGTGGCCGCCGTTCCCCGGCGGGAGTTGAGCGATCGCGGGGCCGTTCTCTGACCGGGTTCCCGCACCCCGGGGCCGGCGGGGCCACGGCCGTGACCTGCGGGAGCCTCTGCCGCGGGCACACCCGGGCCGGGACCCCCGGCGGGACCCCCTCGCCCCGCGGGAGGTGCAGGACCCGCGGCGGTGCGGGGACCCCGGCCCGGCGGGGCCGTGCCCGGCTCTCGGAGGTGCGGGGAGGCTGCGGCCGGTGAGTAACTCCTGCAGACCGCGGGGACGGCCCGGGAGCGCTTCCAGCACCTTGCAGGGATTCCCCGCGGGAGTGGTGGCCGGGTCTCCGCGTCTCCATCACCCCAGGCGGCTTCGCGGCGGGGCCCAGGGACGAGCAGGTCCCCCCGGCCCGGCGCTGCTGCACTGCAAGGGAATGTGCCCCCGACCCTCCAAGGCATCTCCGCCCTCGGGGGCGGTCCCATCCAAGCCCTCCTTTCCCGGCGATTTGCTGCTCCCTCCGCCCGTCGCCTCGCAGCGCCTGGAGGGCGAGAATGTTCCTGTTCAACTCTTATCAGCTGTGTGCTGAGCGCCTCCAAAATCTGGGGCGGAGGCACCTGATGCTGCCTATTTAACCACCTTTGTTTAACCTGCACTTTATCAACGGTATCTGGTGTATTTTCTTCCTGCTTTATCTTCTTGCTTTGTTGCTGGCACTTGTTATCTTTCCCATGTTACATAACGAACTCTACAATCCCCGAAGGGCGGAGGAGGGTCACTGGTTTAAGTGCCCTGCTGGCAGTCGGGTCAGGGAGCGGGGAGGCTGCAGCTGGAGCGCTGTGGCAGCTCCCCGCGGCAGCACAGGATGGCCCGGGGAACCGACGAGGGAGTGCTCGGTGGGGTATTTAAATAGCGCTAATGAGGAGGCTGCATCGCCCCGCGGTGTCACGGGTGACCTCCTTTCAAAGGGCTGGCAGCGATAGCGTCTCCCTGGGACGGTGTTTTAATACTCATTCACACTTGTGGCGAAAAGGTATTTGTGCCGCTCCATTTTTCTGCCAGCGTTACACGTTCTGCTGTTATCACACCGCACAGCTTGGCCCTTCCTTCAGCGAACTGGAAAGATTTACAATTCCATTCATAATTTTCTTCAGTCTGTCATCTCTTTAGCTCTTTTTGACTGCTGGCAATGAAGTTAAAATATCTCAAACTGGTGCTTTTACGTCGTTTTTGAAGACAGAGAACACAAAGGGCTTTAAAAAGCATAATCAGGGTAAAAGGAAACATTTGTTTCCAATGTGTTGTAGATGTATCTTGTAAATAATCCTGGTTTTCATTTTCCTTTTGTCACAAACACACTACCTGTGAGATCACAGAGGATCTGGAAGAAGCAGAGACCTCCAGGTGGAGTTTTCTGATCTTGCACTAGCTGCCCTGGGAGTCCAGATGACTGTTGAACTGTTGATCCTTCTCCTCTCTCTGGAAAGGGTTTTGCAGTGCAAAGGAATAAGTCCTCTGGATTTTTGCCTTTCTTCTTCTCTCGGGTAAAAGTCTGTGTGTCCCTTGCAATGAGTGGTTAACGGTGGCATCAGGTGTGTCACCAGATGATCTCGTGTGTAGAGATTTCAACATAAGTGCATTAAAACTTACATGTGACTTCCTATTCTGTGGGAGCAAATGAGAGAATCATGTACTTAAGTAAGAACCTCTTCTTATAAATCAAAATTAGACTTGTCCTTTTTGATGCCTTAAAGTAATTTAGATGCCTTTGTACTATTAGGACAAAGAGGCTGGTATCACTGAAGACTTACTCAGACTTATCCTACATCTGTATTGCGTGTTAGTGGCACTTAATTCTTATTTAATTCTGGAAGGCTTTAGAAGTTAAATGGTACCAGAGAAGAATTTGTAGAAAAGGTCAATTTTTGAGTTGCATTTGTGTTTTGATTCTGAGCTTGTCAAATGGAAAGTGAGTTTTGTCAGTCTTCATAGTGGCAGCAGGACCACACCAGAAGAGGACAGAGCTGGCCTTGCTGTGTGCTCTACAAGAACGTTCTTATTGATTGTGACCCATATTCATGCGGATACAATGCTTATGTACTGAAGAGAAAAAGCAGTAGAGAAGCAGGCAGGAATTCTGTTGCTACACTGTTATTTTTGAGCATTTTCACATGAGCAATTTTGAAGTTGTGCAACATATAAAAAAGTCCTGAATGCTACTGTTTTACAGTGCTAATTTCTAGCTCTTTTTAGTTTGTGAGGCTGCAAGTTCTACTTTCTTGCTACCTTAATTTCATAAGGAAGGTAGTGAATTTCCTAAACCAAGATAGTTTATATTCCAGATCCAAGCCTGGGACTGATGTTTTCTAAGTGTTAACAGGTCCTAGAAGAATTACAACTGACTGATCAAACTGTTAGGTTAGTTGTCATCAGGCTATAAAAGCTCTCTTTTTTTTTTTAATTACAATTTTGCTTTTCCTTCTGCTTGTGTACTTTTCATTGTTTCATAAGTTTAGGCTGATCATGTAGGCTTGGTTTATTGTATGAGTTCACCAACTACTGATAAATTAAATGCACATATTAAAGTAGTGTAAAGCAAAGTATTTCAACTTTCCATCAGAATTAAGTATTTGATTCTGGCTTTGAACATTCATGAGTTATCAACTTTTAAAATAGCAATGCCTCATCCATTTATCTTTGGAAATTCTTCAGCATTAGAAACATGTAATTCCTGATTTTAGACTAATACATTTTCTTAATCTCCACAGACAAAGTTTGTAAGCAGTTCTGAGTGCCCATTTCAGATGCTGAAGTGGGGGAGACAGAGATCTCTCCAGTAGTTCAGAGCTTGCTTCTGTGAGGGTCAATTCTGAGTAGGATTCATTCATCCAGGAGTTTTAAATGATTTATCCAAATTACTTTAAATGTAATCTTAATTAGTCTAAATTCAAGTGCTGTTCCTTTGGTTTGTACTAATTTTAAAAGTGCAAAGTACTTTAATTCTAAATGAGAGCAACCACGATGGGATTTAACAAGCTCATTGGTAAGTGGCTTTGCCTAGTCAAAAAGCTTGTAGGTTTGTCAGTCTAGACAAATCTGCAGATTCTGATGGTGAAAAGACTGATCCTGGTTAAAACTGCTGATAAAGTTCCTAACAACTTCCCCCAAAGCCTCCATCTCAAAGCCTGTTCATTGATCATGTGTTAAGCAGCTTTAAGACAGAATTCCACAGGCAATAGTAAGTGTGAAGGAGAGTTGATTTCACATGGAACAGGGGCAATGTAACTCAGCTCTCAGTGCAAGTATTCTGATTATATAGAGTGGTTTTGCCTCCTGAGATAAATATCACTTGCATTCAAGGCTCTAATTTTGAATATTTCACTGGGCATAGTTGTAATTTCTTTTATATTTGTCTTATAGTAGTCATATGAAGTATGTGCTTTCAGTGAAGTTACTCCAGATCTTCTTCCAGGTGAATTCTTATGAGAATTCCTATCTCAGGTCCCTTACCTGAGAGACAGGCTGTGACAAAATGTACACAGACGTAACTGTGTCTGTGATACCAATTAAACGTGGTGTACGCCTGCAACTCTTCTCCCTTTCTTTTAGACACAGCTCCTTAGACCTGGGATCTGACCAATACATTAATAGCAAGGCTTCACTGCTCTTCCTAAGTGTACCATGACTATCATGAGGAGGAGGAACAGCTGCACTAACACCCCACAAAGTGAACAGCAAACATGTTCATCCTTGGGCTTGCCATTTTCGGCACTGCAGGAAAGGAGACATTACTTAAGAGACCCTCCAACAGCTTATGGGAATGGGCCCTTTGCTTACATGGGTTTACATGAAAAATTAGGCCTGTTCCTACTTAATTTAAACATTTTTTTCTTCTCAAAACAATATTAAAACCAGTAAGTTGTTAAGTCTTCATTTCAGTTTCTGACCTTTCAAAGCTTCAGTGTAGCTACTGCATTAAGCTGCAGCACAAAACAAAGATTACAGTGGACATTTCCTAAATTACTCTAGAGACATGTTGTGGTGCATTCCAGTAGTCGTGTAGTGTTAGTTGAATGTCATTTGCCTTTTTTGGCATACTCAATTATGGACCTCTTAAACCTAAAAGTGCAATTTCTTGATCTCTATTATCTACTGTAAAACTGCCCTTTACAATTCTGATGAGAAATAGTCTGGTCACAGAGTACTGGTGAATAATCAGCTTTATAGTCTGCAAATCCATTTTAAACATCTGTTGAACAACATAAGTGTGGAAGTTATCAGTTATAGCTAAATATGCCCTAGATGCTTCCCCTCTGCCCTTGAAAGAAGCCAGCTTTTTCGGTCTTTCAGCTTTGAGGCAGAGGAAAAAAAATCACTTTATTGCACTACTGTTGTATGTTGTTTTAGCAAATATGATGAGTTCCTGAAAGACCAGTTAACCTTAATATTAATGAAGTGTGCTGTGTTGCATAGTGTCCTTTGTGAAGTTTGCTGATGTTTACAGTGGCTGCTCACAATGATAATTAGATGTTAAAGTGATGATCCTTGGATATCCACAAGGCTGTAAAGCATTCTCAAGGGATCAAGGCCCTGCAGAAGGAAGGATGATAACCTGCAATCTGAAGGTGATTTAGAATAGTGCTTAGCCAACACCAATAGCTGAGTGTTTCCTGATAAGTAGAGAGTGTATTTTTAAAAGGTGGTTAATAAGTCATAGGTTGTCTCTTTGTATATAATTGCTTCTCCCAGAATAATGAAGGCTGTGAAAAGATGGGAGATTTGCCGAGTAAAACTTACAATGGTATGAAGTTGGGATGAAGTGCTGGTTATTTTCCTCTGTCAAAGTGTCTGGGCTCTGGCAGCCTGTTCTTTACTGTGTAAGTCCTTTGTTCTGCAGTTGGCCTCCTCTTGCACAGCACCAGTTTGATGTGAGCCTACTTTTGAGGAGTCTTGAGAGGGCAGAGCTGAGGGGTGCCCTGGCCACTCACAGGAGGCCACTGATGTGGTTTGGTGTCAGCTCATCTTCCATGTCAGCTATGGTAGAGCAGAAGATGGAAAGAAGCAATGGTGATGTCTTCATGAGGCCTCTCAGTTCTGTCACAGGGCATTTAGTGGACCACTGTACAAGTGAAAAGCTGTCCCTTTTGTCTGGTCATGTTTTTACTGGCTTGTGTCAGAAGTCAGGTGCTACAGATATGAAGTAGCCATGATTTTTAATGTATTTTCATATACTGCTCATTCATCTCCCAGTTTGTTCTGTGT